GCCTGGGGGCTGTAATTCAACCCAGATCCCTGGGTCTGGAGTGGCCTCACACCTCTGCTTAACTCAGGGGCAGGGGTTACACTTGGCCTAAATTTTAGCTGGAGCTGAACTTTTTATGGCTATAACAGCAACTGCTCAATGCAGTTGGGAAAGATTGGTCTTTCTTTCTGTTTCTCTCTGAGAGGCACAATGCTAGATTTCTTGGTTTGGTGGGGGAAGTCAGAATAACTAGAACTGCAGGATGGGAAACAGCACAATAGTCTGTCTGGCCAAAACCAGGAAGTAGGAATGAGGGAGCAAGTGAATGTGTTGCATCATCAAGCCAAAGAAGCTGGAGTAACTTTCCTTATGGTGTAGGCAAATGTCCAGATGTGTTAACCCTTGTCTAACCCAACTAACTGGAGCCGCTAAAGCTGGGGAAATACTTGCCTATTATGCCAAACTATCAAGGATGTGGTGCCGTACCTCAGGCCATGTTGGAGCAATGATGTGGCTGAACTTGGTGCTTTATGCTACTTCATTCCCACGCGCATTTCTGTAAATTTATAGGGCCTTTGTGTTGGGTATAGTAGAAAAATCTAGATGAAGTAGATGTTACAAAACATATAGGTCTACATTGATTCTTGGTTATTGGGGCGTTGCATGAGTTCATGTATTTTGAATATTGCGGTTTTAAAATAGCATCTACTCACAGGCCACTGCCTTTAGCTAAACCTGTAGTTTAATTTCTTTCCCCAAATGCACCAGAAACAAGGATGGACTGCAGCTGGATAAATGGGGAAACTGAGGTATGGGAAAGGGAGTTTCTCCAAGTCATTGTCAGAAGGGGGCTTCTGATTCTCAGTCCCATACATGAGGTTGCATTGCCCCTTATCAGAGAGATCCTCAGAGCCAGTGCCAAGCCCACCTGAAATGCTTGCACATGGACATGAACCACTTGAAGACCCTGATCGGAGCTTGGAAACCCGTGCAGATTGGTAGTAGACGGAGCTCTGGGTTGGTAATCGGGAGACCTCAGTTTTGTTACTGACTCAGCTACTGACCTACTGCATAACCTTCTCTCTAAAAGTTTATTTTCTGGTCTCTGTCTCTTGCCTGTTTTAACAGCAGGTTCTTGGGGGCAGAAACAGTCTTTTGTCTTGTGTCTGCCCATCACCTGGCGGGGCTGGAATCCGATCTGTATTCAAGCCTCCTGTTGATATTGTCATGCAAATCACAAGTAAGAAATGGAGCAAGGGGAGATTCTTGTGTGTGTTGTCTGGCTGTAAATGTTTTGCACAACACTATTAACCTGCTGACTCTGCTGGTAATTCAGTTACCCTCGATCAGTCCAGCAGTGACAAGCATGTACTGGAAAGAAGTCGGGGCACAAGCTGCAAATGCTGTTGCACAATGTGAGATTCTGCAGGCTTTTCAGGGCTGCCACCTGTCTATGTTGCAATCTCCTCTAAGGCTGGAGACGCTGAGTTTCTTCTCTATTTTCCTGGCAGGTGTCCTGCTAGACATCCAGCAGCATTTTGGAGTCAAAGACAGTGGAGCTGGCTTGCTACAAACGGGTAAGAGTCTGTGTTTTCTGTCTGTCTGGGTTTTTTTTCCTTAGGGGGTATCTTGTAGGTTTTTTGAACAAAGGTCAGGCTGCCCTTCTATGCACGTGTTTGCTTTGTTAAAATATAATGGTCTGGCAAATAATTCCTGATTGAGTAGCTGTGCACTTGGCCTCCACTTAGCAGTGGCTTAGTTCGCTGCATCCAAATAAACTCTAGTTTGATGGCCTAGAGGATGACACCACCTGCAGCCGCATTTTGCCAGTGCATGAGATAAGGATGTTTTGGGTGCAACAGGCAACGCGAGTGAACAAATCTGTTCTCTTAGCTTATGGGAACTGAATTAAGGGAAGAGAAGTGCCAAGCCACAGTGAAAGACAGCCACCTTCCTGAGTCTTAGGTTGGGCATAGCAGCTCAGCGGTGGATCTATTTCAGCTGAACGCTTGCACTGTGTATATAGTATGACTCCTCTGGTGTATAAAAGTCATGCTGCATGTCTGCCCTCTTAAACACAGGCAGCACAAAGTAATACAGTATAAGAAATCAGTGCCACTATTGGAATAAATTAATAAGCATGAAAGTTGCAGGAAGGAGCTAATAGCCATTCCTCATATGTTTAGCTCATTATCCTGTTGGTTTAGTTGGTGAAAACAAAGCCTTTGATTTTGGGCCGTTTCCATCAGACACTTCTGGCCTTGCGTTTACAGAAGAAGGGTTGTTAGATCTCGGGGCATTTCCTTGTGCTACAAACTATAGACTTTTCTACTCAGTCCAGGACAAACCAGGTATTTTGGCCTCTGGTGTGATGTGGCTTTGGCTGATGCCTTAATCAAATCGAATTTGAAGACTGATTGATAGCCTCAGGATTTCAATGATAACAAAATAGTTGATGTTTACGAAGAGGAGGTAAACCAGTCAGGGTGCAAATGCAGTCTTTAAGGGGAAAAAGAGCCCTCTTGCAAAGGTGACTGTCAAGGTGTCAGAGGCCTGGAAGTTTGGTGTTTCTGTTGTCTTGCATTGGTTTTCTGGTGGCACTAACAAGGAATATACATGCATCTCAGTAAATGAGACTCAGGAATGCTGCTTCTTATCTGATAAAGGATTTTAACTGGCAAGCTTTTTGCGGTGCTGTGTGTAGCTTCTAGCTCAGTGAGGTCCTGACCCATAACTAGAGCTCTTAGGCACAATTACAATCCAAATCAAATCAATAATATTGTGGCTCATAACAAAAAAATCCCATCTCTGGTGCAGTTGCATTGGCAATGTTGGGAGTGCTGGTCTAGTCATGTTTCTTACCACATTTTGCCAGGGGTGCTTGCTGCACTTCCACCTTGGTTTGCTCCAATGAATTAGAGTCATAGAGAAGTATGGCTGGAAAGGCTCTCCACAGGTCATCTAGTCCAGCTCCCCATTTGAGGCAGGATCTTCCCTATCCAAACCATTCTATACACATCCACTGTCTAACTGCTTAGCAGAGTGACACAGTGAACCCTGACATAACCACAAGACACCCTAATCTGCCCAGGGGGGCAGGGGGAACATGGCAGCCAATGTTATGCTGTTGCAAAGGTGGTTTAAAATATGCTAGGAAGATCCCAGGAAGAGGGCCACGCCACTGCTACAGAGGAAAGCAAAAATTCCCACAGCCTGTACTAATCTGACCATGGGGTTAAGTTCCTTCCTGACCCCATCTATGGTGACTGGTCTGACTCTGAGCAGAGGGACGAGATCGTCTAGTTGGGAACCTACAGTTTTAAGAGCCAGCAGAAGCATTGGCGTGCTCCAGTCAATATTCTCATTCTTGGCTTCAGCCAACACCCAATGCTTCTGAGCAAGGCTTAAAAAAACTCTGACACGTAGCAGCAGGAGTGGAAAAAATTCCCTCCTGGTCCCATGTGGCAACCAGCAAAGCCCAGAAGCACAGGAAATACCCATACCAGAACATAGGTACCCCTGTGCCTAGATCATCCCTGACCAATGCCTGTCCAACCTCTTCTTGGACACCTCCAATGACAGAGTCCACAACTTCCCTACAGTAGTCTATTCCACAGTGTTTTAACAGTGAAGAAGTGTTTCCTGATACCAAATCTAAACCTTCTTCATTGCAACTTCAAGCTTTTGGTCTGTGTCCTACTCTCTGCAGCAAGAGAAAAAGATCTTTTCTCTCTTTTTTTTTTTTTTATGGCAGCCTGTCAGGTATTTGAAGACTGCTGTCATGTCCCCTCTTAAGCACCGTTTCTGCAAGCTAAACATGCCTATTTCCTTCAGTGTGTCTCCTTGTATGACTTGCCTTCCAACCCCTCTATCATTTTTGTTGCCCACCTCTAGACCCTCTCTAGCTTCTCCATATCCTTTTTAAAATATGGGGCCCGGAACTGCACACCATATCCTAGATGAGGCCTAACCAGTGCCAAGTAGCGAGGCACTATCACTTCCTGTGTCTTGCATCTAATGCCTCTATTAATGCACTGCAAATCTGCATTTGCCTTTTGTGTAGCTGTTTCACGTTGCAGACTCGTATTGAGCCTGTGATCTATCATCAAGGTTCCCAGTTCCTTCTCCATGGTGCTGCTATCCAGCCAGGTATCACCTATTTTGTATTTGTATTTCTGATGATTCTTCCTGAGGTGCAGCACCTTGCACTTGTCAACACTGAACTTCATTCTGTTAGCTCCAACCCAGGTTTCTAACCTGTCAGGATCCCTCTGAATTTTGCTCATGTCCTCTAACATGTTCACATTCTTTCCCAGTTTTGTGTCATCTGCAAACTTGTTCAAGAAGTGCTAAATTCCAGGATCCAAATCATTAATAAACACCTTGAACAGCACTAGACCCAGAACAGACCCCTGCGGGATTCCACTCGAAACCTCCTGCCGTTCTGACATGGATCCGTTTGTAACCCTTTGGTTGTGGGTACTGAGCCAGTAGTCTCTTCACTTTTTATAGTGGTTTTGTCTAGCCCATATTTCTCTAACCTGTTTGTGAGAAGGTCATGTGGAAACTTGTCAAAAACTTTGCTGAAGTCCAGATACACTATATCCATAGAATTCCCTTGATCTACCCAAGTAGTTACTTTGTCAAAGTTTGTTTGTTTGAAGGTAGGGGCATTTATACTGGCCCTTTTCCAGGCTGCTAGGACCTCCTCCACCTCCCAAGACTTCATATATTATTGCCAAGTGCTCTGAGATCTCCTCTGCCAGTTCCTTTAGTACCCTGGGAGGTTCATCAGGCCCTGCTGACTTGAGCTCATTCAGATCCATCAAAAGCTCTCTGACACTCTCTCATTCTCGCTCTCTTGTTCTCTCATTCTTCAGCTTGTCCCCTTCCTTATTCAAACACTTTTTACTAGGTGTCTGGGTCATATTTTGCAAGGCACTAGACAAGATGTCTGTGGGAATTACTGCATCTTGCAGGATATGGCTCTCAATTATACTTTGCAGACTAGGAATGAGAGTTTGGCTTCATGGGTACACCAGCAAATTATCTGCCATCCCTATCTTGTTAATTCTCCACCAGCTGCTCTCCTCTTGGAAAGGCAGAGTTCAACTAAGCTGATGCATGCAACACGCGTCAAGAACAGAAGGCTGGAACTTTACAAATGCCGCTGATGAGTAGGAGCATCAATCAGTGATGCCCAAAATGACATTGGATCTCAATCCAGCCCTCTTTTGTAGCAGTTATTTTTATTTATTGCGCCCCTAGGAACAGATCCTCCATGTACTATAAGACAATGAGTGCTTCCAATAAAATACTCTGATGGAAAAATCTCATCCTCTAAAGCAAATATTTGATCTTAATCCCCCTTGCTATGTGAAGGATTATTATTATTTATTTCTATAGTGAAGAGGCAGGCCACCTAAAGGCCCTTTTATCGTTTGGAATATTGCTAATGGGAATGCAGTAGTTTCTATCAGCTACAACATGCCCCTTTGGTGAAGAAATGCAGTACCCTCTCTGTGGTCATTTCCTGGTCTGGAAGGTGTTCCCATGTGTTCTTTCTCCTAGGGGCACTGAATTGAAAGTTTTGGCTATTTCACAGCATCTGTGATAACTTTGCACTTCTATAGCACCTCTGATCCAGTGATTTCAAAACATACTGAAGGCCTGATTCTGCCATTGTGACTTAAGTAGAGAAGTGACTTTCCCTGTAAATAGTGCCATGGATATTAACTAGACAGCTCATTCAATAAGCCACAGATCACCAGGAGTGAGTCAGAGCCCTGAAATAATCTATATTGTCATCCACATTTTTACAAGTCCGAAACTGATGCAGTGAATTTAAGGAACTTGGCCAAGGTTTCACAGGAAACCTGTGGCAGAGCCAAGAATGGCACTTTCATGTCCTCACCTTTTAATTTAGCCTGCAGATGCCATCCAAGGCCATTGAGACTGAAGTACACTCGTGCCCCCAAGATGGCCCTTCCTGTCACAGTAAAGTTTGCAGCATTTAGCCTGTACCTGCCCATGAAAAAGTGGATTTTGGTTATCAGAATGTTGATCTTGCACTTAATGTGCATGACACTGACTTAAAACTTTAACAAGAGAGAATGAGGGATTTGTTGATAGTCATCAAGTCTTTAAGCTAATTTTACGGCAGTGAAAACCCTTCTAACCATAACGCTATAGAAGGTTATTTTGGGAAAGATGGTGTTGCACACCCAAATAATGGAAGAAAAAAGGAACTCTTGAAATCTGAGTTCATAGCCTCTTAGTCGTGCACACACAGGCCGCGTCCACACAGGAAGGGGCTTGCATTTGCAGCAGCACAGATAGTAGTAATACAAATTTGTGCCTCTTCTTTGTGCTGCAGCTGCATGTCCCTGCCTGCGTGCTTTGCAGCAGGGCACATTGTCCCACTGCGCTATGTGCTGTGGGAGGGCTGGCTGGGGCACAGGATGCCTCAGGGGACTAACCAGCAGGCATCCCCTGTGCTGAGGCACCCTGTGCCCCAGCCTGTCCAGGAGCAGCTCGTGGAGGAAGGGAGTAAGCGGTCCCAGGGCTGCCTGCTCTT